GAGCGCCGCCGCGCTTCCCAAGCGGCGCACTATCCAGTGCGCCACCGGGCTGGCCCCTGTATTTAAACTCTTAAGTGGCATTTGTAGTACTTTAAAAATATACAGTCTGGTTATATAGAGAAAGCGCCGCTGCGCTTCCCAAGCGGCGCACTATCCAGTGCGCCACCGGGCCGGCCCCTGTATTTAAACTCTTAAGTGGCATTTGTAGTACTTTAAAAATATACAGTCTGGTTATATAGAGATATAAAATATTTTATTTGTTTTCATTATAGAAGAAATTTTGGAATCCATAAGAGCCAAAAAGGGAGAAATTGATAATGTTACAAGCCCAGAAGAAACAGAAAAAGACAAGAATGAGACTGAAAATAACAACTCTAAAGATGCTGAGAAAAGCAGAGAGGAGTTTGAAGACCAGTCCCTTGAAAAAGACAACGACAACAAAACACCAGATGATGATGCTGAGCAAGGAAAATCTGAGGGTAAAAAAAATTACTTGGTTAAAAAAGAAATATTTCATCAGTGCTCTTATGAAATCTCCAATTTCACTTGCAAAATGAACATGAAATTTTTTTATTGCAAATAACTGCTTAATTTTATATTTCTGAAGAGATAAGGATACCCTTTATCTTGTAACATGCATAGCAGTTGTAATGAGTTTTATGTATTGGTGGATTTGCTATATGATGTTATGGGTATCTCTATACTTCCATATAAGTTGCCGTTTTCCTCCGAGAATTGTTGGTGAGAAATTACTATGTTAAACCAGAATATACATTTTTGTATGTGATAAAATGTTTCGTTTTGTATTCTTAAATACTCTTTGGATTACCTGTTGCAAAAATATTCTAGAATTTAATTGCTTTAAAATGGCCATCAAGTAGAAGCAGGTTTTTTGGTGACTGATCATTTTTAGTAGTTGATTAAACGTGGCCATTCATCCTAAAGCAATTTTAAAGAATATCTGTCAAGTTTTGTTATGCATTTTACTATAGAGCCAACAGAAGTTGGGGATAAAGGTAACTCTGTGTCAGCAAATCTTGGCGACAACACAACAAATGCTTCTTCAGAAGAGACTAGTCCCTCTGAAGGGAGGAGTCCCGTGGGGTGTCTTTCAGAAACCCATGATAGCATCAACATGGCAGAGAAGAAGGTGGCACCTGAGCTCCCCCAGGATGTGCCAGGTACAGAGGGCAGTGTATCAATGCCTCTGTAATGGGGGGAATCCTTCCCTTTTGTAGTAAAAACTGAATGTCACCTAAAACTTTAAAATATGTGTTCATTCATGCTGCTTGCTTACAGTGCCATCTCTGTTTTGCTAAATTGTCACCTAACATTTGGAGTTTGATAAATGTTCTTGCAATTAGTGCTTGAAACTCATCATAATCTTCATGCTTTTTAAGCTTCATTTAGCCATTTTTGTTTAATAGATTTGTTTTATCATCAGCCCATAGTGGCAGTATTTTGGTTTTAATTACTTACATACTAATGGCTCAGTGTTGAATGATTTGACCCTTCCAGTTCTGTATATACTAACAAATTAACTTAATGTGTGCATGTGCTCATGTAGTTTTTACATTTCAAACCATAATGTTATGATAGACGATCATCATCATAAAACATTTTGCAAGGTGTGTTTTGACATGAAAATGTTAACCAGTATTTCATATTTTAAGCTCTTTTTTTGAAGAAAAAGCAGCATATTTTAAGCTTCTTAAAATTAAAATTATTCTTGAAGTAAGTTTTATCACACCAAGAATGCCATTATGCCTTTCCTTTTGCCTTTTATAAAAATGAAAAGGAAGTTTTATTATAGGAACGATGTATGTTTTTCTGAAAAATTCAGATAAGTAAAGTAAGAAAATAAACACTGGTAATCCCACCAAAAAACCAAGAATTGTAGCTAATACCTTGATGGAAGTCCTCAAAGATTTTTTCTATGTATGTAAGAATATCACCGATTTTCAAACTTTCGATGCCTTCATTGCTACATTTTATACCGGCTTGTGATTCTGATATGTTGGAAAGAAGACAGCACTAGTATTGGAAAACCTGCATTCTAGGTTCACTTCTGCCATTAAGTTAATGTCATTTAATCTTTCGAAGCCTCAGTGTTCCTGTTTTGTAACGTGAAGGATTTTGAGAACCAGCAGTTGTTCTCGTGGGGACTGATTTCAATTGAGTACTTTCAGCAGTGAGCTGTGTTGCTGAAAACACCAGAATAACATTAGGCTACATGTAGGCATGTATGCATAGGCTCCACAAGAATGACAGTGATCAGCAGTAAGTTCACCATATTTTATACTGATGAGAGGAGACTGATCATTAAGATGAGGGAAAGTCTGAAAACCGTGCCATCTGGTGAAATGAATAAAGAAACAAATCTTTTTAGCCTGGAAAAGAATAGGCTTGATGTTGAGGGCTGGGGTAGGAAATAATTTAATTGTCCTTAGATACTTCAGGGGCCGGAGGAGAGGGGTGATGGGGGGAGGCTTAGACTTGTTTTTCGAAAGGTGGGGTGTTAAGTCATATAAGTAGAAATTATAGTGAAGAGAATTTTGATTAAATATTAACAACTTTCTTAAAATTAGAACTATTTAGAAGATAGAAGTAATGGATTCTCTTTCACTAGAGGCATTCAGTAAATACATATAGAGATGGTTTCAGTGAAAGTCCTTTATTGAATAGACTGGAAAAACTCAGAGATCTATAATTCAATTGTATAATTTTATGGTTAGATCTCTAGGTCCTATTCAGTTAAAAAAAAATTGCATTATTCTGACCATCACATATTCAGGGTTAAAAGTTTGAAAGTCCAGTACGACCCCGAAATAATGTGAAGAAAATTCAATTTTTATTGGAATCATGATTACACTCCTAGTAAATACTTTTTAGAATATTCTTTGTCTTTTTAAATTGGCCAGTACTTAATGCAAACCTCAGTCTCTCTTACTAGTGGCTTCATACCCAATTTAGTTCTGTTTTTAAACCAAACTCAGTTGAATAACAACTGTGCTTAGATTTTAGCAGACATTTGCTTTTAAATCTATTTATTAACAGTTTATTTGCCTCAGATATATGTTCTTTGGTTAGAATGGTTTAAGGGAGAAACTATTATCCTAATATCCTAGTAACTATTATCTGACTTCCATTTTTGAAGAATGCCAAATAAATAGTATATATAAAGCACTTAGGATTGTGCCTGACACACATTAAGTGCTCAATAAATGTTGGGTGTCATTGTTACTGCTACATACAGTCAAACTCTTTTGAAGAGTGAAGAGAGCCTAGCAAGAAAAGAATAATAAAGTGGGTGAGTTGACTTACATATTTATTGATTCAGTAGTTATTTATCAACAAAAGTCTTGTAAATGAGAGACCCTTTGTACTTAAACTTTACAGTTCAAATGGTGTTTTCATGCATATGTCATGAAGAACGTATTTATCTGAGCACCTGAACAAGTAACTTTAAGAAAGCTAGAGTGGGAGCAAGCAGCAGTTGTCAGGAGCTGGCATTGGAGTAGGTGTGGGGTTAGCAGGATGAGAGTTCTCCACAGCCCGAAGGTGCCGTCCCTACAATAAATGTAAACCCTGACCATTTAACAACCCTTAGTTATCTTCATGTCTGGACTGGAAAAACAAAGAAACCTAGAGACCTAATGTTCTCACACTTGTTCCCCAAACATGAAAAACAGTTTAAAAAGCTTATATTGAATATATCACACTAGTTTTGAAGAGAAATTTGGTACCTTTATAAAGTAGATAAATATTTAATAAGTTCCTGACTTAAGGATATACTGGGGGAGATACATCAGTGACCATAACAGATAAAGTCTGGGCTCTTGTCGACTTTACTTTCTGGTGGGCAGTACACAAACCTAGAGTCTGACCTTCAGAGAAGCCTCTGGTTCTTTCTGTTTCTTTTGCTGTCTGTGCACTCATTTATTCAATGGATATTTATCAAGTTCCTACAATGTGCCTGGCAGTATGCTGGGCACTTTGTGATGTCCCTGGACCAATCTCTGTTACCACTATTGGTCAACCTGTGGTCAGTGGAAGAAGTGAGACTGGAGAATTTTTCTAGGCAGATTAAAAATAATAGCTGAGATAAGAGACATCTCATTTGGTTTCCTCTTCTAAACTTCCAGCATGTATTTAGACACCTAATTTAATGATTAAAGCTTATCAATAAAAGGTGCTGACAGATTGGAAAGTGTTTTGAATGGAAACATTTTTCTGGTGAACTTTTTTATTTAAGTGCAACATACAGTAAAGTGCACAGATATTAAGCAAATAGCTTGAAGGATATTTACAAAGTGAACACATCTGTGTAACCATATCATGCTCCCTCAGCCACCACTATACCTACCCCCACAAAGGTAATAGCCATTCTGACTCTGTCACCACCAATTGGTTTTGCCGTTTTTAAAAAATAAATGGAATCATATAGTATGTACTCTTTGATGTCTGATTTTTTATCTTAATATATCAGTTAGAGCCATCCAGATGTTGCTTGTAGCAGCAGTTCATTCTTTTTAATTGCAGAATGATATTCTGTTAGAAATATCATGATTAATTTATCTTTTTTATGTGTTGATGGCCATTTGAATGGTTTCCAGTTTAGGATCGTATGAATAATGCTACTACGAATATTCTATTACATGTTTTTTGTGCATATACATATGCATTTCTAGAAGTATAAATCTAGTTATAGATATCCTGGGTCATTGAGTTTGCATATGCTCATCTTTAATAGATACTGCTAAACAGTTTTGCAAAGGGTTGTACAAGTTTACACTTACCAACAATGTACAAGGGGTCTTCAAAAACTTCATGGAAGTATTTATATTATCTTTTAATTCTATTTTTCCACAAACTTTTTGAAGTACCCTGTTATGAGAGTTCTAGCTCCTCACCAACCTTGCCAACACTTGATATCATCAGTATCGTTCTTTCCTTTTTGGAGGGAGGGGCGTTCTGCTGGGCATGTAGGGCTATCTTACAGAGGTTTGCACTTGCTGTACCCTGGTGACTAAGGATGTTGAGCACGTGTGTGTGTGTGTGTGTGTGTGTGTAGGTCATTTGGATATCCTCTTTTGTGAGGTGCCTATCATTTCCTTTGTCCGTTTGCTATTAAATGGTCTGGCTTTTTGTTTGTAGTTGTTTCATGGAGGAGGTTAAATCCAGTCCCTCTACGCCATCTTGACTAGAAGCAGAAGTTCGTATGTTGATTTTTGAATGTTAACCCAATCTCCTATTCCTGAAGTAAATACAACTTGTGATGTATTTTCCTTCTTATATATTGTTGCATCCAGTTTATTCATATTTTGTTTAGGATTTTTGCATCTACTTCCGTGAGTGAAATTGGCTTGCATTTTCCTTGTCTGGTTATGTCCCTGTCAGGCTTTGGTATCAAGATTATTTTGGCCTCATGAAAGGAGTTCGGACTGGACGAGTTTGTGTGGGGCTCGTGTTACTTGTTCCTTATATATTTGCTGAAGCCATCTGGTCCTGAAGTTTTCATTGTGGGAAGGTTATTAATTATAGATTTCACTTCTTTAGTAGGCTATTCTTGTTTTCCCTTGTTTTCTTATGTCAAGTTTGGTAAATTGCATTTTTCTAGGAATATGCCCATTTCATTTAATTTTAAAAATTTATCAGCCTAATAACATTCTGTCTTTTTAATATCTACAGGATCTGTACTGATGTTCTTTTTTAACTCAAAGATTGGTAGTCTGTCCCTTCTTCTTAATCATCTTGTAAGGCTGTTAACAATTCTTACTAATCTTTTTTAAAAACAAATTTGCCTTTGTTGATCCTCTCTGTTGTGCATTTTTCTAGCTTACTCATATCTCATCTTTATTGTTTCATTCCTTTTCTTTGCATTTTTGTGGATTTTCCCTCCTAGTTTCTTAAGATGGATGCTTTCATGATTTTTAGTTTAGTTTATTTTTTTATTTGTTATGTTTTAGGTAATTTATTATACATATATGTAGGGTACAATGTTGATTTTCAATAATTGTGTATACTGTGTGGTGGTTAGATCAATATAGTTCGCTTATTCATCATTACAATATGCAATCATTCTTTGTGTCCTTTGACCAATTCCTCATTATTCCCTTTTCTACCTCTAGTTTTCTAAAAGTTCAATATGTTTCTTTCTCTCTGTCTCTCTTCATTGTTC